TTTATTTATATGTATATTGTATTTTATATTTTTAAATTTTGAAACTAATTATAATTTCATTTTATTTTTACAATATTGTTTTTTTTTAGTATTGCTATTATTTAGTATTTACTATTGTGTTAATATTATTATTGTTTCAGTATTGCTATTGTTTTAGTATTGTTTCACTATTGTTTTAAAAAGCATATAATATAACAATAGAGCCTAAAGAATAGGGAATGTCATATGTATTAATTATTGTCTGTAGCGTAGTTTAAGACTTTATTATTATTGTCTAAAACATAGTGAAGACATTATACATATTTGTTGTTTTGGATCTGACTACTCCCTCCCATGCAAGCTTTAATTAATTGTTTTATGAAGTGTTGTATAAGATGAGTTAAATGTTACTTGTTATAAGTATACTTTTGTATGTTAAGAAGTATCAGATTCTTAATTACTACTATTAAATAGTAGTTTTTTATATTTTGACATTTAACTTATTTGTTCCATGAAACATGCAATTAAATATTTTTCCTTAAATAAAGCTTGTTACCTTTTCGTGGTGTTTAAGATAAACATTTATAGATTAATCTATAATTGGCTAAATATAAGCTAGCTTATATTTTAAAAATAAATAAATAAATTTATATATATATACTTACTTTTTAATGTTTTTGTTTTTATAAAAATTTTTTTTAATTTATAAATTTTAAAATCTTTTAAAATCTTTTAATACCAAAATGTCTGAAACTATTTCCCATCAAGCTTGTGCTAGAAATAATATATTACTTGATAATATTTATGAATTAAATGAATATAAAGAAGAAGTTTTATCAGAAGAAATAAATTCCTTAAATATAAACAATATAGGTTTTAATTCAAATAAACATTGAACTCAAAAAGCTAGTATAAATATAAGTGATTTACAAAAAGATTATTATATAAATCGTTTATGGAGAAGTATTCCTCTTAGTCCAGATGATTGTAAAACTTCTGTAAGAGATTTATTTATTCAAGCTTTAATTAAAGAAGCTAGAGCAACTAATTCAAATATATCTGAAATTCCTTTGAATTTTCTTTTATTAATTGATGATAATATAATTAATAAATTATCTA